ATGAAGATTTGCAAAACCCCCAATTTTGGATCCAATTTCGAATTTTAGGGTTTTTTCGAGTAGAAAAATTCAGATTCGAGAAGTTACAGGCCAAATTAGACAAAATGGTTTGGATATTATTGATCCTCGTCTCAAGACGAAGAGAATGACATTGGTCCCGCCGGAATCGGAAAAAGTTCATTTTCCGGCAACTTTGACCGGCGGGCGGCGGGGCGTGGAAGAAAAGAAAAGAAGAAATGGGGTCAAATTGAAAATTTTAAAATATATAAAATTCGAATTTGGCCCTAATGACCGGAAGTTAACCTAGAAACGGGCTAATGGCTCATTAGTGAAAGGATTGTGTAAGTTCAGGGATTTTTGTGAAAGGATTTGAAGTTCAGGTACTACTTCGAAATTCCAGCTAAAGTTCAGGTACCATTTGTGAAATTTACCCCTATTCCTCACTTGAGATTAGACTTTTATTTATCTCATGTTAGTAATTATCTAACCAAGTCTATCTCATGTTAGTAATAAAGTAATCCAAACCCGACCCGAACCCGATATTGAGTCGGGTCTGGTGTGAGTTTATAATTTCACCGGACCCGATTCAAAACCGAATATTATCTAACATAAAACCCTATCTGTGGATATAATGAGCACTTTGTATAATATCTTAATAAGGTGCTATTGTATAAAATATGCATTTTATAATTCTTTTTATAATTCCCTAATTAAAAATGAGACAAAAAAGAGACAAAAAATTAGATTTATTCGTTTAAAATTCTTGGGGTATGTCGAATTAATTATTGGTCAAATTATGAATTTGGGTTCGGGTTTGGGTTTTGCATTTAAATGTCAGGTTCGGGTCGTATTGGGTTTTTAGGTTTAAAAGTCGGGTTTCGGGTCGGGTTCAGGTTTCGGTTTTAAAAGACGAATCTGACCTATTGTCATCCCTAACTCCGTATCTAATATCTAGTTCTAAAACACATTAAAACATAGTATGCACAATGATTTCATAAGTTTTTAAAATATTCATCACAAGATGTCCAATTACAAGCACACACTACAAATTTTTCTTACAATTTTTTTTGACACATTTTCTTTAATTATGTGGAGTTAAAATAACGAGTGGTAAATTCTCTTGTGGAAAGAAGAGGTACTAATTAATTACTCCCTCCGTCCTAAAATGATCTTCCCATAGCACTATTCCAACTTCACGAAAATTTATATTTATTTGTGTTATTTCATGGCCTATATGATAAAATAAAATATTCTTGTCACCACTTGTTTTGTTGAACTTTTGATGTAGTTTTTAAATATGTATTTTTTATTTTTTTATTTGTATACCAATATTTAAATAAAATAGATTGAAAAAACTTGAGATTTTTCTTCGTTTTGCGAACCGAGAAATCATTATAGGACGGAGGGAGTACTACAGTAAAAGAAATATAAAACTGAAATAAAGTATAGTAGGGGTACTATTGCTTGTCGTCACTCTTCTTTCTTATTATTCTATGAAGACTTTGGGGAGAAAGAGAATGGTTTGATCCGAAATGACGACCGTGTCCCGGCAATCAGCCCGCCCTCTCCGCTCTTTCCGGCTACTGTTCCTCATCACCGCCTCCCTCCAATAATTTTACTTCTTCTTTGCTTGTTCAATCTCATCTACTTTGACCATTCATATCTTTATTTACATATAATTTTATATTATAAAAATATATTTATTTAATTTTAAATTATATATATATAGAGGGGTTTGGTCAATGAAAATGATTTTTACTACGAAAATAAATCCTTATTTACAATAATTTCACCGTATTTTTTTTAGATTTTTTCATTTTTTTTGAACTTTTCTTAAATCTAATATACGAGATGCATTATTATTTCATTATATATATATATCAACACATAGACGTTCAATATTAATTCTCCTTTTTCGGCGGTATATATCTAAGTTATCATTAAAAATCATTTCTTTTTCTCTGGACTTTCCCATTTCGCCTTTCCATCCCCACCCTTTCGCCATTGATGATGCAGAAAGATCACTTCTTTAACGGCGGGGGAGCTCCGCCGCCGCCGCCGCCGTTACTGTTCGAGCCCACGATGCGTGACTTGGACGCGACTTGGGGGTGTTCTCAGGATGAATACGCCCAATTTGAGTTGCCCGTCAGCAGCACCTCGATGGCCGCCGCCGCCATGGATTCCGGCGGCTTTGCGATCAGCGAGCTGATCGGTGAACTCAGCAGTATGTACGGCTCTCGACCGCCGTTCGCCGCCACTTACGGCAACGTCGGTGATATTTACAGCTTGGGAAATTCACTTCCCCTGAGTACTCCGGCCATCTCCCCGGCGCCGGCGAAGTTGTCCTGCCTCGCTAGCCGGAGCTTCAACGGGAGAACGGCTCAATCCCGGTCGAGTAGCCCGTCTCTGAAGCAACCCGGAACTGAACCTCGACCCGAACCCTCATTCTTTTCCGGCCACACTTCCATTCCCGAACCATCAGCTCCCTCCGCCGATCAACTCCCGAGCGGCGGAAGCTCCGGCGAACTCAATCCCAGAAAAAGGAAACCCGTCTCGGTACGAAATAACTCTTCTTTCAGTTTTCCCAGAAATTTCATTCATCACTTATGATTCTTCACATGTTTACAGGGAATCAAAACGGACGGGCATTCAAATGCGAAGAAATCGAAACAGAGCAAAGAAACAGAGAGGGAAGTGAAAGATGATAATGGCGGCGGAGATGGAAATGAGTCAAACCAGAAGCCATTTGAGCCACCAAAGGATTACATTCATGTTAGAGCAAGAAGAGGGCAAGCTACTGATAGCCATAGCCTTGCTGAAAGAGTGAGTTTTGTTAGCTCACCACATTTTAAAGAATTAATGTTGAAATTTGAATGTATAAAAACTTTTCTTGATTTTATAATCACAATTATGAAATTTGTATGGGATAGAGAGTCAAAATATGGTCTAGTTTTGTGGATTTAACTTATGAGATTTTTCCCATTTTGATTAGGTAAGGAGGGAGAAGATTAGTGAAAGAATGAAGCTTTTGCAAGATCTTGTGCCTGGCTGCAATAAGGTGAACAAACCTTTTTATGTTACTATATTTAATGTCAAATTATGATTAACTAATTTAGTAATGTTATAAAAAAGAACCTCTTTTTTTCTTTTTGGTTTAAGGTAACTGGTAAGGCATTAATGCTCGACGAGATTATAAATTATGTGCAGTCACTGCAACGCCAGGTCGAGGTAATTATAAAGTCATACTCTCACATATGACACCAAAATTGACACCTTAACGGACGAAAGTCTCACATAAATCTTGGTGTCATTTTCTTTTAAGTATTTGGCCCAGTTTGGCATCAGCGTCAGAGATTAGCGTTAGCGTTTTGAAAAAGCTATCCGACGGTAGCCTTTAGCGTTAGCGTTTTCAGAATTAATCTGCAGCGTTAAAATTTTATCCAAAACGCTAACGCTAATAAAAAACGCTGTTACCAAACAAAGCCTTTATATATGGCAAAAGATTCTCAACATTATATTGTCAAATGCCACAATGCAGTTCCTATCTATGAAGTTAGCCACATTAAATCCTAGGGTGGACTGCAACGCACCCAATCTGCTCCCAAAGGATGTGAGTAAATTCTTTTTGTCAAGGCAATGATATTCTTTTGTCTCTGGGGTAAAAATGTAAAATCATGAAAATGTTTCTAAGTTTTGGACTTCATTTTTCCCCTATAGATATGTCAGACCAATGAGGCATTGCCACATCACGCGTACACGTCGGATTCGCCGGGGCCCGCTTTTCGTTACGCCAAAATTCCTCAACTAAATGCGGGCATTCCAAACGGGGCGCTAAGCCAATGTCCCCCTCCTTCTCTTTACTCATTGGATGCCTCTCCAAGCCTTGGGATGCACTTTCCTTCCATGGATAGTTTTGGTGAAACTCTTTCTCAGGTGTGGTAATATGATATCAGAATCTTGTTGATCTAGATGTCACAAGTTTGAAATTTACGGTCGATCTTCTTCTTAAAAAAATAAATATTCATGTGTGTTTTGGGTAACATTAAAAATAATAATCATCAATATTCAATAATAATAATAATAATAATTATTATTATTATTATTATCTGAAAAACATTTTTGTTTCCCAAACATAAACTGAAGTTTTTGGTTGGGTAAACTTTGTTTATTTGAAAAACAAAATAAACTTTAAAAAAATAAGTTTCTTGGAGTATATTAATAAATAAATATGGTGTGTATTTGGTGTCTTTGCAGTTTCCTTTGGGATTTGAAGATGACCTGCAAAGTATAGTCAAAATGGGGTTCAACTAAATCTTTAGCAAGATTATATGTACAAAATTTGATTCTCTCCGTCACATAAAAAAGTTCCATAACGATTCAGTTCAAACTCCTCCGATCAATCACAATTCTTGAGATGAAAACTCAAGAAGAAGAAGAAGAAGAAGAAAGAGAGGATTGTACATATTTGCTTCAAGAATTGATAATGCACTTCTAATTAATCTAGTAAATTATCTATCTTTTATCTTGTATTGTTATGATTATCATTCTAATTATTAGTATTGTTACTATATATTGTTGGTGTTATTTTTATTGTTTGATGTAATTAGTATTCTTTGTTTTAAATTTGAAGGGTGGTCAACTTGTGGGTCCTGCCCTTGATTTATTAGGATCTTCTGATATATGTGGTTAGGAAAAACAAAATCATATTTTTGTCCAAAGTAGCACTAATGAAGCAGTGATTAAAGGATGTATTATCAAGTGATTTTGTTTTTTCTCTATTCTTAAATTATTTGATTAGATTGTGGTTGGTGCCTAATTATAATGATAAATTTGTTTTCTTTGTCACTCGTGTAAATAATATTTGATTCTTGTTTAGGCATACACCCCACAAAAAAATATACTTCATCCGTCCTAAAGTAAATTTTATATTTATTAATCACATAGTTAAATTTTAATCATTTCTTCTTATTTTCTCAACTCATATGATAAAATAAAATAATCATTACACTTCTTGTTTTGTAAAGCTTTTGATGTAATTTTTAAATATATAAATTTATTTTTTTAATTCTATACTAAATTTTAAATAAAATATTTTGAAAATAAATTTGATTAAACATCATAAATCAAAACAGACGATCCAAATTGGGGCGGAGGGAATATTATCTAACTTTATGTCTTTATGAATTGAAATTCAATAAAAATGTTGAATGCGAAAAGTTCGTGGACCAAATTTGTTTAAAAGCTAAATTAGCTTTGTAAGCTGCATATTTGTCACTCGGGGTTACTATTATAAAACAAAATTAGGGTCCGTTTGGGGAGCTTTGGATATAAAATAAGATACTCCTACAAGTTTTGAATTTTAGGAGAAATGATATGCATTTTAAAATTTGAAACAAAGTTGTTTGTAAATATTTAAAATCATAATTAAATTAGTGATATGTTTGTATAGAAATAAAAAAATTATATACTCCGTATTTAAAAACAATGTCAAATGTTTTTCAAAATAAGATGTGACAAGAACATTTTATTTTATCAAATAATCGATGAAAATGTACAAATAAGTAAAAGTTGTAATTTTTAAATAGTGAACTGTAATTTTTTTTGGGATGAAGTTAGCTAGTATAAGCATCTCTACTCATAATAATAATAATAATAATAATAATAATAATAATAATAATAATAATAATAATAATAGTAAAGTACGGAGTATAAAACATCTATGTGCATCTATGTGGGGTAGGGGAATTTTGTGATCTTTGAACGATTATTATATTTACTTTTGTTTTTTGGCATTTTTATAAAAAAGAAACGTAATTATCGGCACAATTCTAGCTAGCTTAGGCTCCTGTAGTTTTCACACATTAAAAACCATAAACAGAAGCTTCTCTTCTCTCCTTCTTTTCTACTCCTTATTTTTTTCTGCTCTAAGAAAAAGTAAAAAAAGAAAACAATCTAAATAATAGTAAAACATATAAAAAAATATCAAAATAAGAGTTTTATATTTTTATCCCTAAAATAAAGGTTTACATTGTGCTAATGTGACACTATATATGGTAATATGAGTATGCATTACACAATACTTTTTTGTAATGTATATGATCGTGTTTGACACATACAGTATATACATTTTAACTTTATTGCCGTAATCAAAATATAAAACTTTTATTTTGATATATTTTTAATAATTTACTCATATATTAGTCTTTTTTCAAAATAAAAAGGATGAAACTCATGGTCCGAAGTCCAAACTCTATAAATAACAACATGAAAGGTTTTGATTGAGATTTATTTCTAGTACGTGCAAAAATTTCATGTTAAACATAATGATCCACGAGTCAAAATAGAGCATTACCCTGAAAGAATTGTTTGGGAGGAAATTTTCTGTATTGCTTTCTTTTATGCACAATTTACAATGAGAACCTATATATAGGATCTCACAAGTTGAGATTCCTAATCAGTAAAGGAAAAGGAAAAGGAAAGAATCCTTATACAAGGAAAACTACCAAAACAATATATACACAAATATCTCCAAATATTCTACCAAATATTCTCTTTCCTTTAACACCCCCCCTCAAGTTGGAGCATGTAGTAACGAAATGCCCAACTTGGGTAGAAGAAACTCCAAACGAGACTTTCCGAATGCCTTTGTATGAATATCTGCAAGCTGATGCGTAGTAGGCACATGAAGTGTACGAATCTCTCCTCGCAAGAGCTCATCACGAACGAAGTGACAATCAATCTCAATGTGCTTCGTGCGTTCATGGAAAACCGGATTAGCAGCAATGTGAAGAGCTGCTGTGCTGTCGCACCGGACCGTCATGGGGTTCTTATGCTCAACTCCTAAACACCGCAATACATTCTTCAACCACTTCAATTCACATGTAAGGACAGCCAAAGCTCTATACTCTGCTTCAGCAGACGAGCGAGCCACCGTCGACTGCTTCTTTGTTTTCCATGAGACAGGCGAGTCTCCAAGCTGCACAAACCACCCTGTCAATGACCGCCTTGTCAAAGGACATGCTGCCCAGTCCGAATCACACCATCCAGTGAGTTGAAGACTACTCTCTGCTGACAGAAAAATACCCTGACCCGGACATCCCTTCAAATAACGAACAACTCTAAGGGCCGCAGCCCACTGATCCTCCCTTGGTTCCTTCAAAAACTGTGCTAAAGTGTGGACGGAGTAAGAAAGTTCTGGTCGTGTAACGGAGAGATAGACCAATCTTCCTACTAATCGTCGATATGGTTCTGGATCTGCAAGAACCGGGGCTTGGGAACGAGCCAAGTGATGATTTGGCTCCATCGGGGCACCCAATGGCCTCGCCCCTAACAACCCTGCCTCAGTGATGATATCTAAGGCGTACTTTCGTTGGCAGAGAAAAATCCCAGACGTGCTCCTCGCTACCTCAATGCCAAGAAAGTATTTCAGTGTTCCCAAGTCCTTCATATGAAAACAATCTCCGAGATAAGCTTTGAACTTGCTTACCATCTCTGTATTATCTCCAGCAATAATCAAATCATCAACATAAACCAACACATGTATGACTCCTTTCTTTCCAACAAAATAAAATAAGGAGTAATCAGCAACAGATTGAACAAACCCATAGCGTTTCAAGGCTCCAGACAACTTGGCAAACCAACACCGTGGAGCTTGCTTTAAGCCATACAGAGACTTATTGAGTTTGCACACCACATTAGACAAATTTGAGAAACCAGGTGGCAATCTCATATACACCTCATCCTGAAGATCTCCGTGTAGAAATGCATTATGAACATCCATCTGATGAAATTCCCACCGCTTAACTGCTGCAATTGCCAAAAGCGTTCTCACAGTGGTCAACTTGACTACGGGAGCAAATGTTTCCTTGTAGTCAAGTCCTTCAACCTGATGATTGCCAAGTATAACAAGTCTGGCCTTATATCTCTCCACACTTCCATCGAACTTGCGTTTGATCTTATATACCCATTTGCAACCAAGGGGCTTTTTATGGCGTGGAGGAGAGACAAGAGACCACGTTCCATTAGCCTCCAGTGCATCAATCTCCTCTCTCATAGCCTTCCTCTATCGTTCATCTTGGAATGCCTTCTTGAAACTTGTGGGCTCCACTCCAGCATCAAGTGCGCTGAGAAAACACTTGTGTCTGTCAGAGAACTTCTCGTGCGTGACATACGAGGCAAGAGGATATTTGCATTTTTCCCCAACATGTGAACCAGCTACATGGGTAACATAATCGGCAAGGCGTACATTTGGACGTGTCTCTCGCTGACCACGTCCCAAGTTCTCCATCGCCTGCTCGGAAGAGGATGGTTGACCGCCGTCCGTGGAACGGTCCATGGGGTCGACCGTCTGAAGCTGTTCTGGATCTCTAACATTCTGCCTCGGAGACGGTCGACCGTTCTCCTCTTCACGGTCGACCGTTTCATCATCCCTCTGGAGCTCATCTTTCTGCCCTTCAGACGGTCGATTGTGGTCAATAGAACGGTCCACCACGTCGACCGTTTGTTGCACTCCCAGAGGTCCGTCTTTCTGCCTTTCGGACGGTCGACCGTGGTCATCAGGACGGTCCACCAGGTCGACCGTCTGTAGCTTGTCTGCCTCACTGGTCTCCTCCGGTCGACCGTTCCTCATGGAACGGTCCAGCCGTTCTTCCGCCGGCATCTCTTCATCATCTTCGAAGTGATCGATCGAAGGGGAACTACTCGATCCACTCTCATCTGGGATTTCACCTGCGGAAATCAAGTAAGGAAAAATGTTTTCACAAAACACAACATCCCGTGACACACTGATCTTTTCAGTGTCCGGGAAATACACACGCCAACCCTTCTTTCCTTGTGGGTATCCCAAAAATATTCCAGGAGTACTTCTGGGTGCAAATTTATCTCCATCTCTCTTGTGTACATAACATCTTCAACCGAAAACACGTATGTGAGCCCTTGTAGGAGCCGTCCCATAAAGCTTCTCGTACGGTGTAACCCCCCTAGCAAAGAAGAGGGTGTGCGATTGATCAAATATGCCGCAGTTTGTATACAAT